AAGGAAGGAAGGAAGGAAGGAAGGAAAAGAAAGAAAGAAAGAGAAAGAAAGAAAGAAAGAAAGAAAGAAAGAAAGAAAGAAAGAAAGAAAGAAAGAAAGAAAGAAAGAAAGAGAGAGAAAGAAAGAAAGAAGGAAAGAAAGAAAGAGAAAGAAAGAAAGAAAAAGAGAGAGAGAGAGAAAGGGAGAGAGAAAGAAAGAAAGAAAAAAAGCAAAGCAAGCAGGCGAACAACAGTCACTAGTTGATTTTAGAAAGATAATTTTACAAATGAAATCAGGATTAATTCTGACCTACATGTGAGTAGCAGATTATCAGTTTGTGGAACCAAGGATCATGAAATCACTTGAAATTTACTGAGAAAAGATCCACTAATAAGGAAAGTAAGCTTTTCAAAACACTCACGTCTATTAATTAAAAACCAACAACAATACGATATTGGCTATAACATAGAGAAACAGATACCCTTCAGAGACCAATCTAATGGAGATGGCCTCCCTCTGCCAACCTTTGTTTCCTCTCCCAAGAACCAAGCTCTGTTCATGTGAGGTAAACTCTTTCCTGCTAGTGCAAAGGCTGTTCGCACTCTGCCTGGACTACACCTGCCAGCTCTGTCGACCACAGCTATACTTCCAAAGCATCCGAGAACGGCCTGAATTATAGATGCTAATGGTGTGGCACCCTCACCACAGGACAAACATCATGCTGGGGAGTTGTGTGCTCATGTCAGGAACGCATCACCCTTCAGGGAGGTGTACTCCTCCAAACAGATTAGCTGCAGAGGGACAGGAAACATGCTGAGCTCCCGGGCACCATATCTGCTGAAACAGCTCATCTGAATTCAGTCTGCCCAGGAAACACATCTACAAGGAGGTCTGCTATTCTCTCATTTGTTGTACTTTATCAGGAAAATGATAGGCTATAGATTTGATGTTTCTCGATGTCTTGAAAAAGAATCTCTGATCTCTTTAGGAATCAAAGATAGCTACATATCCTCTCCTCAAAAAAATGCACATGCACACAAACATTTCCCTCCAAGTTCTCTTGTCTCGTGGCTGGTTCATCTCAATCTCCGAGGCTGGTTCTCCTTCTCCTTGCTCATCTCTATGCGGTGTGGCCAGGGGAGCAATCTATGAGCCATTTCTCCCTCATGGGCCTGTCTCCTCAGCTTCAAATACCATCTACACTGACAACTCCCAAATGTGTGTGTGTAAATTCTGGATCTGTTTAGAAGACACAACCTACAGAATTCACTGTCAAGTCAAGATACAAGAGAAACAGAAGAAAGGAGGAATAAAGTCCAGTAATACCCAAGACGAAGTCATGAAGGAAACATGGGAAAACATTTATCACACGCAAAAATAGTACAAAATCCCAAACTTGACATTAGCAAATAAATACATGTTGAATAAATAAAAGTGTGAATAAATATCAGGAGGCTCACAGGAATCTGAATCCATCTATGTGATATAAGAAATGGCTGGAATTTACAACCATTCCAGTCTGGTGAAATGAACTGCCTACATGCCATTTCTCCTCAAACATCAATCCTAGTGACACAGACCCAAACCCTGGTCTTCATACACAAACCAGCTCCCCCGAGGGCTCCCTCTTCAGGTGATGGTAATTTCATCCTCCTAGCTGCTCAGGTCAAAATCCTAGCAGTCATTAATGCTTCTGATCTTGACTTGCAATGAATCCTATAGGTTATGCCTTCCAAACAGATCCAGAACACACAGGCATTTCTTTTTCTTTCTTTTCTTTTCTTTTTTTTTTTTGAGACAGGGTCTCATTCTTTCACCTAGGTTAGAGTGCAATGGCATAATCTTGGCTCACTGCAACCTCTGCCTCCTGGGTTCAAGCAATTCTCCCACCTTGGCCTCCAGAGTAGTCGGGACATAAAGATGCATGCCACCATGCCTGGCTAACTTTTGTATTTTTAGTAGAGATGGGGTTTCACCCCATGTTGGCCAGACTGGTCTCAAACTCCTGACCTCAAATGATCCACCCACCACGCCCTCCCAAAGTTACAAGCATGAAGCCATCGCGCGAGGCCATGTACAGACATTCCATACATCAGGAATGACTCTGCAAAAAGCTCTCACGTGGCCCCCACACGGCCTCTTCCGCCTTCCCGTTCTCCATGGCCCACTGTCACATCTTATCTACCATGCAGTTCACTTGTTCGTTTTGCTTATTAACTCTTCCTACTAGACTGTCAACTTCATGACAACTGAGTTGGATTCTTTTGTTTTGCTAATTCAGTCTTAGTGCTTGGAACATAACATGTCTTTAATGAATGAATGGATGAATGACACAATGTTAAAAGTCCAGTAATGCCCGAGCAGATGTCATGAAGGAAACATGAGAAAATATTAATCGCACTTAAAAATAACACAAAATCCCAAATTAGACCTTGGCAAATAAATATATGTTGAATAAATGAAAGTGTGAATAAAATATCAGGAAAGTCACAGATATCTGAGGCCCATCTGTGTGCATACTCGGGATCCCTGGAACCCCATCCCAAACAAGGAACCACTGTTCATATACATATGTGTGTAGGTGTGTATCTGTATATGTACACACACACACACACATTTTTTTTAAAAAAATCAGAAACAAACCTGAACATGTAACACCTGAATCTAAAATAAAAGTTGATTTTTTTTCTTTTGGGAGGGCACAGAGTCTCCACTCCATCACCCAGGCTGGAGTGCAATGGTGCAATCTTGGCTTACTACAACCTCCACCTCCCAGGTTCAAGCAATTCTCAAGTCCCAGCCTCCCAAATAGCTGGAATTACAGGTATGTACCACCATGTCTGGCTAAAATTAAAATTATTAAAAAAAAAAAAAAATCAGTGATAGGGTTTTGCTAGGTTGGTCTTGAATTCCTAAGCTCAAGTGTTCCAACCACCTTGGCCTCCCAAGTAGCTGGGATTACAGGGGCCCACCACTGTATCTGGCTCTCTAATATATTTTTGCAATTTGCAAATTCATGAAGACCTCAGTGTATCATCCTTATGAAGGAATCTAATGCATAAGGATACTGGTTCAAGATACTTACATTATGTGTTTAATATTAGCAAAACCTATGCATTTAAAAAAATCTTAAGAGCATTCATTTCAGGTAATGTAGCTTATCAGTTTTCAAGAGTGACTGTAAAGTAAATGAGGTGCAGTTTTTGCTTCGGAGGCTCTGGAATAAAAATGTCCTAGAGTTTAAAAAGTTTTTTTAAGCATACTATAAATATATATAATTTATATATATATATATATATATATATATATCTATATATATATATATATATATCTCAACATACTATAAAGCCAAGACTATCTCTATAAAAAACCACACTCATATTCTAATTTTTATGACATACATGCTCATCCTTCATTGTGTAAGAATATATTCATTTTATTCACTATGGGTGTAGATGCCGTAGTGTGAGCTGGGCAGGAGTCTGTCTATTCCCCAGCATCTCCCAAGTGTCCAGTGTGGTACACTGTGCACAGAGGGTGCTCGGTACGTACTGCTGAGCCAGCGGATGGACGCAGCTAAGAAGCTGTCTTTCTAATTGTGCTGTATCCTGGCACACAGGTTGTTATATATAAAGCACATGAAGAGTCTTGGAGTAAAAGGCATAATATAGATTTAAGTAATTTCTGACAATGTAATAATAATGACTTAAAGCAGTCAACTTTAGACAGGAAGCTACAGCAGAGTACTTCAAACAGACAAACTGAAGACTGCTTCATTCAAATCCTGGCCCACTCACTTACTTGCTGTAAAAATTTTGGCAAGGTAATCTCCTTTGTCTCAGATCCTTTATTTACAGAATATGGATGACAATGGAACTGTTCAAATAGTTTTGAGAGAATGCAATTGCAAAGCCCTTGGAGCAGGGCAGGCGCACAGCAGCATCCATCGCGGGGAGCCAGCAGTACCCCAGGCTGGTCTGTGCAGACAACTACCTGTAAGAGCGCCTGCTCTGGTCCTCGCTGTCCTCTAGAAATTGGGAACCTTGCGTCTGTAGGTCCAGCTCCTCCTGGGATGACTCCTGAATCAAGCGAGTTGTCTAAAATTTAAGAGAAGTATAAAGCAAACTACTTGAATATCTGAGAATCTTAGTAAGAGATGCCTCTTTCATTTGCTCTGTTCTTACTGACAGTGAATAAAATCCCACCTTCAGAAAGTATAATATGATGTCTCCTCTTGTCACATGAACCAGAGGGTGAGAAAGACATGTTCTCCAGATCCCCAAGAATGGTACCACACATACATAAAGCAGTCATGCTAACCCCATACCTTCCTGACAGCGGCACTATAACTCATGCTACCACAGCAAGGACGAAACAAAAATCTGGTCAATGTTTTCTAATCACTCTGTGTTACATCCATGCTCACCCCGGGCAGAGGGTAAGCTCCACTGACTTTCAGAAGGCCGGGACAGTCACAGGACAGACTGCGAACAGTGGAGTCATCCATTCCTGTGCAGCAACTGAATGTTGCTATAAGCAAGGGCCTGTGTCTCATTTGTTTACCTGACTTCCAAAACCAACTGAGATAAAACTACAATCACAGAACTGGGTTTGCACAGTTTTATTTAGAGAGCTCTGGAGTGAAGTCAGCTGCTAAGAAGTACATTCTCCGCTTCCCAGATTCAGCAACTGCTGCCAGTTAGGTAGTTTCTAGCTATGAGAAAAATGTTCTGAAATTTTCCAGCCCTACCACTTGGGCAAAGCTACCAATGATGGATTTTAAGAAGGGATAACAATTGGTCAATCATTTCTCATCACTATTAAGCAATTTCCAAAATCAGAAAAACGAAAACCAAAACCAAAATTAAAGTGTCTCTAACTAGGAGTATGAGATAAAATTTTAAATGATGCATTTAAATATATTTAAATGTCGGCATTCATTATATTTTCCTTCTAACATGTTTAAAAGCCCACAAATAAAAATGTTTAGGCTTTGTGCCTAAAGCAACATAGTATCTTTCAATGTGTTATTACATAACACTCTAGTAAATTATTGGCTTTTAATCACAAATGCAAAGCCACACCATGGCACTGAAACCTTTAAGTAGAATTAAAATGTTTTAAGGAAAAAGAAAACCCTATGTACTAAACACTGAGGATTTCATAGGTAATGCAGTAACCTTAATGTTACAAGAAGTGAGCATGCCTCCTAAAATTTCCCTTAAGGAAACTTTCAATCATCACAGTGAGGAATAAAATAGCACCTGCTAAATACTGCCACATACGCACCCCTCTGTCCATACTCACTACACTCATCCCATCAGAGCTGGGTGCCTGCAGCAAGCTCTGCTGGTGGAAGCTCGTGGAGAGGGCCTGAGACTCAAGTGTGCTGGAATCCTGTAGCTGCTGGACAGGTGGAAACTGAGGCTGCTGATGGTATGTATCAGTCACTGTAAAACCTGAAATAAATTAGAAAACGGGAGTTCTACAAAAAAATATTAAAGTTACATTAAAATGCTAAAAAAAAGGGAGGTTTATAAATTTAACATGTCTAAAGGGGCCTTTCTATTGCGTGAATTAGAATCAGGACTAGCTGTTATTAGCAGGCTCTAACATTGTTTGCTAACAGGCAGGAGGCTCTGCTTAGCAGACATCACGCAGTGGAGGCTTTACAGCACCAGCCACAGACATCCAGCCACCATGAAGTTCCAATTTCTACTTAGCCACCTTTTCTTGGCTGGAAACTACGTGTGGAATGGCTGCAAAGGTCACCTTCCAGAAGACTTGAGCAGACCACAAAATAGTATGCATCAATAAAAAAAAAAATCTACAACGCATGCAAAAAGTTATTTGGTTTGAAACCATACATTTTAGAAGAGCCTTAAGAGAAAACACTTAAGGTTGTAAAATTAAATTCAATTGAGGTACAGCTCACTTACAAATTTCACTGAAAACCCGCCACTGACCTTGGGGCAGCCCTGCTGGTTCGAAGGACTGCTGCGCAGGGGTCTGCTCTTCAAACTGCTCTATGGGCCCTCGCAGAGGGTCCTGTGGAGCCACAAACCCATCTAGGGATGAGATGCCAAAAAGGGGGACTCAGACATTTGTTCCACATCTGCAAATCTATCCAAAAGTACCCTTTAGCAAGTTTTCAAATATCAGACTCCTCATTTTGAAAAGAAAATAGGGAGATAATTTATGTATGTATATGCTTAAAGCATTCTCTTTGCATTTCTAGAATATCATCCCTGAAAGCCTTTACAGTCTGTCCAAAAACTTAGACATTGTTCCTTTAAGCAATATTCTAAAATGGTATTACATTACATAATTGTTTACAACCTTTTTGGGTGTGCATGGTTGCAGGTACCATGCAGGAAAAGTGTATAATCCTATCTAGAGACTAAATACATTTGAGACAACCATAAAACAAAACAGTAAACTGGTCGGCACATTGTTTGGTGACGCGCCTGTGTGAAAGAAGCAGCCTGTGCCCGAGGGAAGCCTGCTATGTCGCTCATCACACAGTCTACAGTTGACCTGACATTGTTTTTTTGTAGTCAAACTTTACTGATGAAAGAAGCAATGTGCTGCTTTATATTCTGGTTCAGGAGCTTAATCTCACTGCCGACCAGTCACCAACAGTTCACTGATCCACATTAGTCTTTGAATCTACACTGAGTGCACTTAATAGAACACTAAAGATCATACGGTTTATACTTGAAAGATGTTCACAATATATTGGGGATATAAGCAGATTACAAAATAGTATGCACTGCAAGATCCTATTTGTATAACTCTTTTTTCTTTTGGAGACAGAGTCTCACTCACCCTGTTGTCCAGGTTGAAGTGCAATGGTGTCAACTCAGCTCACCACAACCTCAGCCTCCCAGGTTCAAGCAATTCTCCTGCCTCAGCCTCCTAAGTAGCTAGGATTACAGGTGTGAACCACCACACCCAGCTGATTTTTGTATTTTTAGTGGAGATAGGGTTTCACCATGGCCAGGCTAGTCTTGAACTCCTGACCTCAAGTGATCTGCCTGCTTTGGCCTCCCAAAGTGCTGGGATTACAGGTGTGAACCACCGCACCCAGCCTTATTTGTATAGTTCTATATGCACATCAAACACACACACACACACACACACACACACACACACACACTCCTGCATATTTGTATGGAAAAAAATTGGAAGCGTCTATATCAAAATAAGGACAATAGATTTTGCTGTAGTCTTAAGATTTCAAATACTTCCTAACAAGATTTCAAATATTTCCTAACAAGAAGTCCAATCACTTTGTGTTTTTGTTTTTAAAAAAAGACCTTGACCTAAGAAAGTTAATACAATTGAAGAGTAAAAATCTAATTGAAAAGTAACAATCTAATTTAAGAGCATGTGGAATGATATAAATACTGAATAAATATTTTAAATGATAAAATACTGAATTCAATCTCTGTCTCACACACAGCACATATTGTTTTAAAAGTCAGCAGTGGGAGACACCGATGGACTGCAATGAGCAGGAAAGGCTGCAAAACTCCGTCAGGATCACTTTTACCTTCATCTGCTTCCAGAGGCTGATCTGCCAACTGCTGGCCCAGCCCTGCTTCCTCTGTGCCCACCACATGCTGAGGCTCCAGGTCTAGCATGGCCTCGGCGTTCGCTGCCACCACCTCCGCTGTCTGCGGCAGCTCGTCGCTCTCGATCTCCACTTGCATCTGAGTGGAGGCCTGCATGCTCTGCTGGTCCACAGTGCTGGTGTCTATCGAGGCTGCCTGCTGATGCTGTTGGAGCTGCTGGGCAAGTTCATATCTTCAGAAAAATTAACAGTTCATCAGATTAGATGCTGTCAAAGGTTACTTGTGTGGGATACTACAGTGAGAAATGTCATTGGTTAAATAACATTTTTTATTAATGATTTCATCTTGAAGTCCTGATGGCAATTCAGGTAGAAACTGAACACCATTAGTAACTCTGAAGGGAATTCGTTTGCCTTATCTTTAAGTGCTTCCACCAGCTACAAGACACCAGGCACAGAGGGAGGATGAAGGACAACACCCACCCAAATGCCTAACAGCTTAAAAACATTAAAAAGATGTCACGTGTTTAAAAGTAAAACTCTCCCAACTCAAGTTCTGCAATGAGTCTTTGTCTTCAGAAAAATAATTGTACTAAGATGACACCTTTATAGACTGATCTAAATATGACAACACATGTGGTGCACAAACAGAGAGGGTCCAGCCTCATCACCTGCTGTCTCACGGCCCGGGCCACAGGCATTTTATTGGACCAATGATCCAAATGTTGCTTGCAGGAACATTTACATTCACAAAGTGCATCCAGTACATATTCATCAAAGTCAACAATTTCTCTTTCAAGGAAAAGATGAACAATGAATTCAGCATTGAATTGAATACTTGTAAAAAAAGAAAAAAAACTCACACAATCAACTGGCTAACAGGAGGAGTAATGCAAAGAATATTTAAGACAAAGAGTTGGTTGGGTGTGGTGGCTCACATCTGTAATCCCAGCACTTTGTGAGGCCGAGGTGGGCAGATCACCTGAGGTCAGGAGTTCAAGGCCAGCATGGCCAACAAGGTAAAACACCATCTCTACTAAAAATACAAAAATTAGCCAGGTGTGGTGGCACACGCCTATAGTCCCAGCTACTCAAGAGGCTGAGGCAGGAGAAATCGCTTGAACCCAGGAGGTGGAGGCTGCAGTGAGCCAAGACTGTGCCACGGTACTCCAGCCTGAGACAGAGTCTTGCTCTGTTGCCTAAACAAAAAACACAAAAAAACAAAGGGCCGCCTGGTCCTCTCTTCTGCCTCTGCATACAAGCTGTGTCACGGGCTCTGCTCCAGTGTCTTAGGAATCTACCTACTCAAAATTTCATTCTCAGTTCCAAACAAAATATTCCCTCTTTTCTGATGTCCAAAATAGAAAATTCATAACGACTTTTACTGTGGAAGGGAGAACAAAAATGTCTCACATAATAGAAAAGTGTCAGAATATGCTTGCCCACACCTCCACTGTGATGCTCCCACACAGCAGTGCAGTGGCGGCAGGGGCTGCAGAAGCCACTCTACCCTAAGAACACGTGTTTCACATGCTAACTGATGGAGGCTTGTTTTCTGTTTGTTTCCTTGGTTCTCTGTTTTTTCCCATAAATGTTACTATAGTAACTAACCTTCTTTACCTATCTTTAGTATATGTGGTATTTTGGGAATTCCCAACAATTCAAACAAAGGAATGAAACACTGGCTAGCTGCTCTCCTTATAGGCAGATTATACAATCTGTAAAAGCAAAGCACTGCAACTCTGCAGTGACGGGCTGATCTGCTCAGTGTCTCCTCAAAGCTGTACACCGATCTCTTGCACGTGTCCCTTGAAACTAATGACAAACAAGGGCCACGCAATACGCCACTTAATAAATGTCACCCCACAATTACATCATTGGTCACTAGGTCCAGAAACAAGGGCCTGAAAACCCATATTCCCAATACTGCCACAAAAAGTACACTGGAAAAAGCTGGTTTCCTGACTGAAAAAGATTTGATTTAACATTCCACTGAGCAAGTGAGTGCCCAAGTTCCATTCATCTTAGCACAGTAAGCTCTTAGGCCAACTGGGGACCCATCATCCTCCCACAGTGAACAGAAACACAAACATCCTCAACATCAATGTGCCCCTGAGCTCCCCAGTTCCCAAACACGTGCAGTGCCCTGCACAGGATACCCTCCACACAATGCAGTGAAGTATAACTGGACATGCAATTGACAGAGTCCATTATACACCACCAGCACACTCCCTAGGTGGTCTCAAGCAGCAGATAAATATCTGGGCTAAACAATCAATGATGCTGAAATCAAAAATGTCAATTCTGTTAAGGGTGCTTAGGCATTCAGGTCAATAGTATCAAAAAACACTATCGCAGTTAACTTATTCTAATATTTAGGGTTTTGCTTTGTAGGGAACATCCAGGCAGACATATCTGGGTTAAAATGCTGTCTGAAAGCAAATGTCCCAGGGCAGATGGTTTAGGCCTTGTGACTCACTTTCACATCTCCTAGGCTGTGGTCACCCTACCCAGCTTTTACAGTACCACACAGAATTCTGTGGCTTCACAGAAATACTCATCCAATAGGCCCCAGCACTAGTCAGAAATGTATCTCTTCTAGATTACAACCACGTAGAGATGAGCTAGCCTTCCAATCATGTGAAAATATAAGCTAGGCTGAATGAAGAGTTTATGGCATATCTAAAATATGTGTTCTTTAAAGTCAACAACACAGAATAATTACCATTCAGATTTGCTGAAGACATGCCTAGAAATCACAGGATCCTCTAAGATTCTCTTTTCTGAAATACTAGCTGACTATACTAGACACAGTCTAGCATATCATCTGATTATCAACTAACAGCTTTAAAAGAGAGCTTACAAAGCATCGAGCACAATAGAAACTACTTCATTTTTAAATTAAAAATCAAAATGTTAATGCTTCAGTCTATGGCTCCCATTAGATCCTCAGACACTAATACTTAAGTTTTTTGAACCCATATACTACAAGCTAGAAATAACAATGTAAGAATCAAAGACAATTATTTCCTAAAAACACTCCCTACCGTCTTCTGGGAATTATAAAGATGATAAAAAGTACCAACAGAATTACACCCACCTGTGGGTTTTCATGTGCTTTTTGCAATTTAGCGAAGTCTTAAATGTTTTTTGGCAATAGGGACACATATAGGGACGAAGGTCGTTGTGGATACCCATGTGTCGCCGTAAGCTGCCACCAGTAGTGAAAGCCCCATTACATATCAGACACTTGAAAGATTTCAGTCCCGTGTGTGTTCGGACATGCGCTTTGAGCACGCCTGCAGAAACAAAGCCTCTTCCACACTGAGAACATTTAAAAGGTTTTTCACCTGTATGGGATCTTAAAAAAACACACATTTTAATGAGTAAGTTTCTTATCCTTGTGTAATGCTTTGTGACTAGAATGCACTCTTGCATTTCACTCCACTTGATCATCACATCTTTTACAGCTAAGCAGCAATGCCATGGCTCTCCACATTTTACAAACGAGGAAGCCTGAGACTCAGAGTGCTTAAGCGAGCTGCCTGAAGTCACATGACAGAGATGAAGCTAGACGCCAAGGCTTTTTCTAAGTTCTATACTTTTTTCATGATATCACACTGAACCTCATGATTAAGGTTCAACTTCCCTTTCACTGTGGCTAGCACTCAGAATTAATCTAAACTCTGATAAATATATGTGAAAAACATAAACAGAAGTCTAATAAAGTAAACCAAATACTTTGATATTTCTTGGAAATTGCAAGCAGTGAAATTTAATGGGCATACACATAAAATCCAGTGGCAATTTCTGGGAAAAATAGTTTAGTCAAGACATTAAGGAATAAAAATATTAATTACCAATAAATATTTTGGAGTCAAATGTGACATCTTAAATACCAAAGGCTAATACTACCATCCTAAGTCATCAGGTCACCAAGTCAGTTTAATGATACTAAATTTCCATCTGTGAATCTGTTACCTTACCTGATATGTTGTTTAAGGTGGCAAGATTTTTTATATGCACGATGACAGTAAAAACACTTGTATGGTCTATCTGCTTCATTTACAAAATTATTATTAAAATAGCTTTGGAAGAACTGGTTTTTTGGAATGGGCTGGATAAGACCTACAAACCAAAAGAAAAGCAGACATAATTCACTGTCAAGGCTAGTAATAAAATTAAATGTCACAAGGCATATGTTTTACCCAGAAGATGAAAATTCTGGTAAGTTAGATTCTAATGTTGCAACTACGTTATTTTAATTGTGTTAGAAACTGGCTATTCAAAGAATACCTATGGGAAAACATAAATTAATATGTGTACAACATTATAAATTAATATAAACATTATAAACTAATATATATCAATGTTCCTCATTTTTCAACATGAGAAATATCTAGTCACAATTACTTCCCTTGATGTCACAGCCAATTTGTAATGAACTTCTACATTTACTTTCTATATGGGCATTTGTTGACATGGAATTTACACAACTATGTCCGCAATTCAGGTTAAGCAGGGTTTAAATACCTTGTTTCTTCAGTATGAATACTGCACACTAGGTACTATAATAAACTCAAAACCAAAGTGATTCTAACATGATCTTTTGTTCTAAAATGGTTAGCGTTTTCACGGATATCACCAAAGATAGCACTAAAGATGTCTGTGAAAATGCTAACCATTTTAGAACAAAAGATATCCTTTGTTAGTAACCATAAAGATATCTTTTGTTATTTGTATATTTACAAATAACAAAATTACTAACTTAAATATTTCAGGTTTTATATACATTTACTAAATAACGAATTCCTTCTGGTCAACCAGCTAATAAATATGACTTGATCAATCTACTGCATTATATCAGCAATTCAGGACCAACTTAGGGGTACACTTTTGAATTCCTTAAAGTCCCTTAGAATGCTAACAGGAAGAGGTACGAAATCAGTCCTCCATCAGCCTTGGGCCGCTCCTCCTCCTCCACAGACAAGGAGGCACTGGCCAAGACTCTGTCCTCTGCCCACATTTCTCCACTCCCAGTCCTCTCTCCTCCCTCAGTTGTACCTTAACTTCTATGCAATGATTAGCATGACGCACCTCTTAACACACTTGAGAAATATCTTCTCTCCTGACTTTCCACAAAAATAGATTCCATTTCAGTTTTTTCCCCTAAAACCTACTTCTCCCAGCTTTCCTAGTTGCAAGCCTGGAACAGTCTTCTCCTGGTCTCCAAGGCTGGGGAGCCCCATGCCTCAGAGAGCTCCCTTCCCTGTCTTGTACCAGTCCTGATGATCAACACTGCTCCAATGTCTCTTAACTTGAATCTTCCCTTCTTTTTCCACTGCCACCAATCTCAAATCATAGCAAAAACAATTACAAAGCTGGAGGGCATTTGACAGTCCCACCAATTTCACCTAGTTCATTATGAGACTTAAGGAAATTCACCTATGATTCCTGATGTTTGCATCAGAACCTTTCCTATTTTTCAAAAAGTATTCAGAACGCTCCCTTGTGATTTGTATATGTAATCCACACAGCACAAGCCTTTTCTCATCTCACAAGCCTTCTCTCTCCAGGCCACTCTGACACCTCCTTGTGCTTGACAGCACAGCCTCACTTTTTCCTCACAACTCGTCCTGCTCAAAAGAGAAAACTGTGGGCTGGGCACATGGCTCACGCCTGTAATCCCAGCACTTCAGGAGGCCAAGGTGGGTGATCACCTGAGGTCAGGAGTTCAAGACCAGCCTAGCCAACACAGGGAAACCCCATCTCTACTTAAAAAAAAAAAAAAATACAAAAATTAGCCAGTTGTGGTGGCACACACCTGTAGTCCCAGCTACTCGCGAAGCTAAGGCAGGAGAATCACTTGAACCTGGGAGAGAGATTGCAGTAAGCCAAGATCGTGCCACTGTACTCTAGCCTAGGTGACAGAGTGACTCCATCTCAAGAAATGAAAAAAAGAAAGAGAAAATGCAGGCATCCAGCATACAACTACCACCTTCCCCAGGATACACATGCTGTGACATGCAGACTGAATGCCATGCGTGGTTCTGAAAAACAGTGATGGCTAACCCTGGACTCAGGTGTTCTCTCTGTCAAGGAGTCCCCTAGACTTATATGTGTCCCTATTGCCAAAAACATTTAAGACCTCACTAGCTAGCTTGCTCAATGAACATTCAGTTATTCTTGTAACACTGGCAGAAAAACATCTAGTTTACTAAAGTAAGCTATGATCCCAATGGTAGTTTACTGAAGTGCCTTCTGCAGCACACCATCAAGTATTTAACTGCTACGACTGTCTGGCATGGAACTCAACACCCCATCCGCCATGTCCCTCTGTTTCCTTACGCTCTTGCTGTGCCCTGGATCTCCCATCTCTGCATCTTATTTCCACTTCTGTGCCAGTCACTGCTTGTCCCCATGTCTTTTCCCCATTCTACCAGGCTTTCAGCTTCTTGCGCCTGGAACTTCCATCGTAATCACTGACATAGGTCTGAGCCCACCTGCCACCTGCGGTTAAGAGGATACATAAATATGACTGAAGAAACTGACCCCTGTTCTCAGTGTGTAGGGAATTAAGAGAATGAAAGAAGAATGCACAAATTCAAACCAAGGTCATTTATTTATCATCTTATGGTCAACATTTATCGGACACCCATGTGTTTAGGAAACTATGTTAGGTTCTTAGAAGAATTACCCTGAAAGGTGAACAGAAAACTAATATGACTATTTTTCAAAATGGCAACTAAAAAGAGTGATGCTTTTGGTCACTATTAACTAAGCTTACAAAACTTCATATTTCAAATGCCCATCTCAGAGGGGCTCTGTGGTGATGCATAACAGCAACTACTGTAATATTAGACACAATCATTTAGAATTTTATACAGATAGCTTCAATAACTATTAGCATAAAGTTAATTAAAATTATAAACTCCAACTAATATTTAATAAGCCATTTTCTTGCTCTTGTTAAACTTAATGGAATGAATTTTAAAATAAAAATAAAAATTTTAAAAACTCGGCTGGGCATGGTGGCTCAATAACAGATAACCAAAGCCTGGCTCACATCAAAGAAAATATATTTCAAATATTTATGCTAAGCAAAATGAAAAAATGGTGACATTATTTATATAAGGTCATATAATATACAAAAATAGTTAAAACAGATATGTCATATATATGATTTTAAAATCCAGAAGGAGCTCCAGATCAGAATATTATAATTACATGTCTCCAATATTTCTTCAGACTGCACATTGAAAATTTAGTTCCTTAGCTTGAAGGAACAAGCATAACAAAGAGAATATCTAGTGAAATGCAATCGCTACAATGTCATAAAATATGTAATAACCAAGTTCCATAAAGACTAACAGTGCTTCACACCGAGATATAATTATTACACTCTCTGAAAATCACAGTGTGCTCTTCCATAATTCTGTGCTCAGCAGGACTATGGAAGTGGCTGCGGAAAGAAGTGAATTGTAGATGAAACACAACCCTAGTCTATAAGTCAGAAGACCCAGATTCTAGGCCCACCATGAACACAAGCCAGCTGTATGACCCACAAGCAAAGTCATCAATTCTCTCTAGACCCTAGTTGTTACATCCACAAAAATGAAGAACAGGGAATGCAGGAAAGTTTTGGAAGGAAAATTTTTTAGTTCCCATGTAACTCTATAAGTTTCTAAAAATTTATGACCAAATGTACCATACCATGCAAAAGTGCTTCCTTAATAATCAGAGAATGAATTACTTGGTATAGTATTTTTAATGTATTCTAATGCTGTTTAAAAGAACAGTCTTAGTGTAAAACATATTGCATTTTGAGTAACTACACTGAACTGGAAGATCTCATCTCCCAACTAAGTCAAATAACTAAGTATTCTATGCTAAAACCTCTTCTTATCATGTTTTTTATCAAACTCTGTCCCCCAAAGGTTATGACAGCCAAGTCTTTTCTGTAACCTCTAAGGAGTCCAGAGTCTGAGAGAAGAGATGAACACAAATAAAAATAACAAAAACATTAAGCATAAGACATAGTTACAATATTTTACAATTTACAGTATGAAGCTCCCTCTAGGAATCATTTCCCTCATGTGTCCCAGTCAGCCTAAACCAAAGAAGTCAACTTCCACTATCTGGTTTAAGACAGAAGCATCTGTGAAGTCAATAAGTAAAATATATCCCATTTTAACCCTGAAAAATTTCTGAGAAGTCAAGACTCTAACTCAACTGAAGATTCATAAACTTGAAGTCAAGAAGCTCATGGGTGTATAACTTGATTATGGCAACCTGAAAAAAGAAACTGGTCTGTTGTTTCATTTTTGAGCAACCAAAACTAGACAAGGATATCAAAGTATTCTAAGCTATTATGGGGTTTTTGATCCCAATCTATGCTCAAAAACAATTAAATATAATAATAATTACAGTTCCTAGAAAGTTTAGTACAATTCATATATAAAATTATCAGACTTTTTTTTTTTTGAGACAGTTTCGCTCTTGTTGCCCAGGCTGGAGGGCAGTGGCACAATCTTGGATCACTGCAACCTCTGCCTCCTGAGTTCAAGCCATTCTCCTGCCTCAGCCTCTTGAGTAGCTGGGATTACAGGTGCCTGCAACCACGCCTGGCTAATTTTTGTATCTGTAGTAGAAATGGGGTTTTGCCATGTTGGCCAGGCTGGTCTCAAACTCCTGACCTCAAGTGATCCGCCCACCTTGGCCTTCCAAAGTGCTAGGATCACAGGCGTGAGCCACCATGCCCAGTCAGGCTGGTATTTTGGAGAAGATAATCTTTTACTATCTTGTCAATTTTTTGTGTATTTTGGAGTATTCTATTTCTTTTACAGTCAGTTCTGCCAAGTATATTTTTCTAGAAAAGATTCATTTGATCAAAATTTTCAAATATATTAGCAAAAAGTTGTAGAGTATTTGCAAACAATTGTTACCTCATTTGTATCTGTTGCTTACAACTTCTTTCTCATTCCTAATGTTTCCTCACATTTATTAGTGGCCAATCATCTATTATTCTGTACATTTTTTTGTCTTCTATCTTCAATTCCATTATATGTATGAATTCATGGGTCCCCAAGCCCCAGGCCACCTGTTAGGAACTGGGCCAGGCAGCAGAAGGTGAGCAGCAGGTGAGTGAGCTTTACCCCCTGAGCTCTGCCTCCTGTCAGATCAGCAGCACATTAGACTCTCATAGGAGAGGAGGCTCTATTGTGAATCGTGATTCTCATAGGAGTGCGAACCCTATTGTGAACTGTGCATGTGAGAGATCTAGGTTGCACGCCCCTTCTGAGAATCTAATGTCTGATGATCTGAGTAGAACAGCTTTACCCTGAAACCATTCCCCCACCCAACCCCCACTCTGTGGAAAAATTGTCTTCTGCAAAACTAGTCCCTGATGACAAAAAGGTTGGGAACTGCTATATTAATTCCTTTCTGCTACTTTCGTTTAATTTTCCTAGTTTTTGAGTTAAATATTTTACTTATTTTCAATCTGTCTTATTTTCTAATAATACTCAAAAGTCTTCATTTTTCCTAGGACAGCTTTGGTCCATCCAATCTGTTTACATAATACTCAACATCTGTAGTATGCAGTGTCTGTTTTGAGTCCTTCTTTTCATGTAATAAAATTTTGGATGGTTATTTTATATAAGTTTTTCAGTTAACTATAATCAAAGATTGTATCCTGTATAAAATCAACTTCTGAGAATTTATTGAAAATTTTCTGTACCCTAGAATGTGATCAACTTCTGTTTCATGCATATTTAAAAGTGTGTAATTTAAGGCAAAAGATTATATAAAGCTATTAAGTAACACCTTTCATATGTGTGCTCGAATCTCCTTCAGTTTAGTGTGTTTGTTTAAATTGACCTAATTAAGGATATTTCACTACACTTGAGAATTTGAGCATTTCCTCCTTCTTCAAATTCTTTTTGGTTTCTATATTTTGATGTTAAACTCTTAGATTCACACAAGTTTATAGCTGTTGATCATCTTATTGGGGGCCCCTTATTTATAACAATCTAAAATCTCTCTGTACACTATGTTTTAGAATAAAGGAATTATATTTTGTTTACTATGCTTACAGATTGAATTATCTTTCCTAGGAAAGTAGTGAAATATAGAAACTGCATAAAAATATAAATTCACATACAGAGTTTAATTAAATGCTATGGTCTCAATGTTTGTGATCCCCCAAAATTCATGTAGTAAAAGGTAGGACCTTTGGGAGGACATAGCCAGAAGGCACCATCTATGAGGAGGAGAGACCTCACAAGACACTGAATCTGCTAGCACCATGATCTCAGACTTCCCAGCCTCTAAAACTGTGAGAAGTAAACTTCTAGTATTTATAAACTACTCAGTCAGTGGTATTTTGTATTCAGGAGCTCAAACAAACTAAAGCAATGAGGTTTCTTAAAATTTTTTTTTCCTGGGATTGGTGCAAAAGTAGGGCTTTTTAAAATTTTGTTCTAGTACTGACAGAAATAATTTTTCTGAAGATTCTAACAAGCAGTGTTTTCTTTCTAGATTAACAAAATCATAGTTTGGGTTGGTTATAATAACATTGAATCTAAAAAAAACTTATAAGCAGGCAGAATTTTCTTCTCCTTTTTAATCCAAAGATTAAAGTAGCCCAAATAACACAAAGAACCTGAAGATGAAAAGAACAACGTGCACTGTATGTTTCACATAAAAACCACTTGTCACCTTTGGTGGTTCCATTAAGGCAGCAATGTTTCTTCAATGAGGACTTTTACACACTGTTTTCACTTACACATTATTTGTCTCTTAAAAAACAATTTGAGTAGCAGTTTGGATACAATTAGGATTTTAATCTTGATTGTAAACATGCTAGCCCATAAAGCAAAACAAGGCTGAACACAGATCTCCTTAATACTATGCCTAAAAAACTATTTAACTACATAGACCATAATTTGCATACACAATTCATGAAACAGCAAAGAAAAGAGTGCTGGATAAATTGTAACCACTCCCTGCAACCCCTCTTACCTAAGTCAGTTATGAGGATCGGTTCCTGCAAAGGAATATCAGGGACTGGAGCGTTCGTCTTGCCAACACGAACCTTTGCAGGTTTTCGCTGGTGCCTCATTTTCCTTAATTCCGTATGTTTAAAGTGGGAAGCAATGTGAGTCTTCCTATGGCCTGAGGTTCGAAATTTTTTGTCACAGTGAGGACAAGCAAAAGGTCTAACTCCTAATAAAAATAAAATCACATTTTAGAATTATTTCAAGAAATTACATCTCAACAGCAAATGCCAACATAAAATGTTAGTGTTTCCAATACTGATTTGAACCTTCAATTTAATAGGCCAGGCTTATAATTTCATGGATACTGTAAATTATTTTCCCTTGTTTGCATAGAGTGCATATTATAGATATGAAGGCATGTAATAAGAGTATTTTAAGTATATTAAAAAAAGAACATTTTGTATTTTTAGGACAAGGTCTTAAATTGTAAAATATGGATATTCAAACAACTAGTACTTCTTAAAAATTCTACAGTATGTAAGGATGCTGTCTCTCTCAAGTCCTCTTCTGGAAAGTGGCTTAAGGACACCAGCCTCCAGGGCTGCTGCTGGGATTACGTAAGCTAATGTTTAAACAGCACTTAGTAATGTCTCACATTTTGCAAACAAACAATGAAGAGTAGTTGCTACTGATTGTGAACTATGATAATAACAGTACTAACATCCTCTTAATAATCCTCTTACTACTGTGCCCCACTTCTAAAGAATATTTCCTTGTTTTATAATTTTATTAGCAAATGAAAACGTAAACTTCAAAGAAAGGCATACAACAAAACTGAGTAAGTTCAGCTTTGTCAAACACTTATCCACAGGGTCAGCCCAGCAGAGGATCCCTGAGGGAATTTGGGAGATACTGCCAATGAGTACAGGGTTTCTTTGAGAGGGGAAGCAGTGATAAAAATGTTCCAAAATCAGACAGTGATGTGGGCTTCACAATTCCAAACTGTATACATTAAAAGGGTAAATATTATAATATGTAAATTACATCTCAATAAATATATCATTTAAAAAAATTTGGAGCGCCATAATGAAAGATTTCACCCCTTCATACTGATTAGAAAGCCTCAGTACAAACAGGTCCCTGATCCTCCCCCCTGGCCTAGCTAAAGCCTTCAGATCTTCCCAGATCATATGAAGACTACGCATTGTGTCCTCAGAAAGGCTCACTCAGCCTAAATATAAATCTGATCCGGACAGAAGTCTCTTTTCACTCTCTGCAATTCTACGTTCATTTTTAAGTGTTGCTTGTTTTTCATGCCTCCCCCAGCATATCCTTAGCTCCATGGAGATCCAGGTTGCACCTGTTTTCTTTACCTGTAGATGCCTCATGCCCACCCTACAGAAAAGACTCAACAAGTGCTGATGAAAAGACGGAAACACATCCTCCAAGTATTCAATTATTGCTCTCCCAGGTGCTGTGACTCAATCTCTTCTCAGCACCTGTGTGCAGTACTGTATGCAGTACCTATTGGCAGTGGGTGTGTGTGCCACTGTTTGGTACCATGTGTGGTACCTGTGTGCAGTACTGTATGTAGTAACTACTGGCAGTGCCTGTGTGTGTCACTGTGTTTGGTACCATGTGTGGTACCTGTGTGTGGTACTGTGTGTGGGACTGTGTTTAGTACTGTGTGCAGTACTGTGTTTCGTACTGTATGCACTACTTATGTGCAGTACTCTGGTACTGTGTACAGCACCTGTATGTAGTACTGTGTTTGATACTGTGTGTGATGCCTGTGTCCAGTACTGTTTAATAATGTGTGTAGTACCTATGTACAGTACCTGTGCGCAATACTGTGCTTGGTACCTAAGTGCAGTACTGGGTGTGTGGTACTATGTCCAGTGCTGTATGTGGTACTGTACGCAGTCCCTATGCGCAGCAGTTGTGTGTGGTACTGTGTTTAGTACTGTATGCTGTACTATGTTTGGTATTCTATGCACTACTTGTGTGCAGTACTGTGTGAGATGCCTATATGCAGTACTGTGTTTAGTACTGTGCATAATGCCTGTGTGCCGTGCTGTTCAGTACTGTATGTGGTACCTGTGCACAGTACTGTGTTTGGTACTGTGTCCAGTACCAGTGGGCAGTACTGTTCGGTACCTGTGTAGTACTATGTTTGGTACTGTGTTTGGTACCTAAGTGCAGCACTGTGTGTGGTGCAGTGTGTGGTCACTGTGGACAGTACATGTGTGCAGTACCATGTTGGGTATTGTGCAGTACCTGTGGGCAGTACTGTTTGGTACCTGTGGGCAGTACTGTGTTTAGTACCTAAGAGTAGTACTGTGTACGGTACCATGTGTGGTACTGTATACAGTCCCTGTGGGCAGTACTCATGGGGTACTGGGTGTGTGGTACTATGTTTAGTACTGTGTTGAATACCGTATGTAGTACTGTTTGGTACTATGTGCAGTACCTGTGTGCAGTACCTGTGCATGATACCGTGTACAGTGCTAGTGGTCAGGACCTATGTGGGTGCAGCACTGTGGGCCACACTTGTGTGCAGTACCTGTATACCGTACTGTTTGGTACTGTGTGTGGTCCCTGTGGGCAGTGCCTGAGTGCAGCTCTACAGGCCATACCTGTGTGCAGTACTGTGTTTGGTACTATGCATGATGCCTGTGTGCAGTACTTGTGTTCAGTACTGCATTTGGTACTGTGCTTGGTGCCTGTGCACAGTACCTGTGATTGGTACCTTGTGTGGTCCCTGTGGGCAGTGTCTGTGTGGGTGCAGCACTGCAGGCTGTACTTGTGTGTGGTACTGTGTTTGGTACCTGTGTATGGTACCTGAATTTGGTACTGAGTTTGATACCTGTGTGCAGTACCTGTGTTTGGTACTATGTGTGGTTCCTGTGACCAGTGCCCATGTGGTTGCAGCACTGCAGGCCATACTTGTGTGTGATACCTGTGTGTAGTCTCTGTGGGCAGTGCCAGGGTGGGTACAGCACTGTAGGCTACACCCGTGTGCAGTACTGTGTTCAGTATTATGTATGGTGCTGTGTGCAGTCCCTGTGGGCAGTACTTGTGTGCAGTACTGATACATGATGCTGTGTTGGGTACTGCGTGCAGTACCTGTAGGTAGTACTTGTGCAGTACCTGTGTACAGTGCTGTGTTGGGTACTGTGTGTGATATCTGTGTTTGGTAACTGTGTGCAGTCCCTATGGGCAGTGCCTCTGTGGGTGCAGCTCTGTAGGCCACACCTATGGTGTGGGTGGTATTTTGTGCAGTGGGCAGTACTTTGTGCAGTCTCTGTGGCAATACTTGTGTAGGCAGTACTTGTGTGCAGTACCCGTGCACAGTGCTGTGCACAGGTACTGTGTGCAGTATCTGTGTTTGGTACCTTTGTGCAGTAGGCTGTGCAGTCCCTGTGGGCAGTGGCTGTGTGGATGCGGCACTGCAGGCCACACCTACGGTGTGGGCAGCACTTGTGTGCAGTACCTGCGCGCGTATTGTGTGCCGTACTTGTGGTTGGTACCTGTGCGCCGTACTGTGTGGGCCCCCATGGCCAGTAGCCGTGTGGACGCAGCCCTCAGGTCGTACCTGTGTGCAGGCGGATGTGCACCTTGAGGCTGCCCGAGGTGGAGAAACTCTTCATGCAGTACTGGCACTTGAACGCCTTGATGCCGGTGTGCGTCTTGATGTGGGCCGTCAGCGTGCTTTTCACGGCGAAGGCACGGAAGCACTGCGGGCACTTAAAGGGCTTCTCGTGGGTGTGGATGCGAATGTGGCGCACCAGGTCGCTGGGCTTGCGGAACTCCTTGGCGCAGTAGGGACACACGTGCCATCGCACGCCGTTCTCCTCCCGGATGGAGCCTGCGGAGGGAGAGGACACGTATCACTCGGCCTGAACGCCACGCCCAGTGTCCTGGCCAGGGCCCCCCGCGGTCCCTATAGAAAGCTGCGCCTATGATCAGTTATGCGAAAGCTTGCAATTCCCAGGATGGCTGACGTTATCAAGGGCTATGAGTTAATCTTGCTGAAACCCCTAACAGTTGGGGAAAACACAATTCAGTCTCTGAGAAAGTACGCCCACTGAAAAAGGGATTGATTCTGTAGGTCCAGCGGCACCTCGGCTCCCCCTTAATGAGAAGGAAAGCAGATGGGATCGAATAACCCCATGCTTAATGCAAGGGACCGGAAGAGAAGAAGTGACACTGGAATAAGTATTTATTGGGCCTACTGGATATCGCCAATAAAAAAATATAAATGCAAATAATTAAAAATGGTAAATTCATATGCAATGAAAGGCAATTTGTAAATAGTTAAGACAAATAGTATATATCAATTCCTGATAAAATGTAAGTGGATCTGTCTCCTGTATTATTCAATTCTGAATCAAGTTAAAACTATTTCTAATAGAAGAAAAATCACAAATTGATGGAAATATAGTAAGTACATCTGTCCCTCCCTTTTCAGTAGAAAACAGTGCCAAGACCCGAGGGGATGCCTGAAACCCCAGATAGTAGGGAAAACTACCTATACTACGTTTTTCTACCTGATAACCAAGCCAGCTACTGAGTGGCTAATGCAGCAGCGTGAGTGCATGGGACACAAAGGGATGACCTGCATCCCTCTCATCCCTCTCGGTATGGAGCAGGATAGCACAAGGTGAAATGGTAAGCAGTTTACAACTTAAGAATTGTTTATTTCTAAAATTTTCCATTTAATATTTTTGAGAATTTGGTTGACTGCAGGTAACTAAAACTTAGAATCACTTTATTTTTTAAATTTTTGATTAGATTTATTCATCTGAAATTAAGGTGACATGTACGTACTATACAGATAACTCAAATAAAGAATCCACATGAAATCGAAAGACTTTGGCCATGTTAACGAAATTCACCAGAACATTTTAACTAAAATTTACTTAACTGTGTCAGAAAAAAGTTGTTTTTTTAAAGAGAAAGAAAACCTCTGTTTCCTTCTCTGTTATCACTAAATATAAGAAATTCTCCACATATGCAAGTAAATCTATAAAGGTAGAAAATGTATTTCCTCGAATACAATATTCTTCGCAAGAATAATTCACGTAAAAAAGAAAGGGGCCCGGTGCAAAGGGGCTGGGTGTGGTGGCTCACCCCTGTAATCCCAGCACTTTTGGAGGCTGAGGCAAGTGGATCATCTGAGGTCGGGAGATCGAGACCAGCCCGGCCAACATGGAGAAACCCCGTCTCTACTAAAAATACAAAATTAGTCGGGCCGTGGTGGCGTATGCCTGATAACACAGCTACTCAGGAGGCCGAGTCAAAAGTATTGCTTGAACTGGAGAGGCGGAGGTTGTGGTGATCCAAGATTACTCCACTGCAGCCTAGGCAGTAGAGACGGGTTACTCCATGTTGGCCAGGCTGGTCTCGATCTCCCGACCTCAGGTGATCCACTTGCCTCAGCCTCCAAAAGTGCTGGGATTACAGGGGTGAGCCACTACACCCGGCCCCTTTGCATCCGGCCCCTTTCTTTTTTACGTGAATTATTCTTGCAAAGAATATTGTATTCGAGGAAATACATTTTCTACCTTTATAGATTACTTTTGTAACAAGAGCAAAACTCCATCTCAAAAAAAAGCAAAGAAAAGGAAAAGGAAAAAAAGAAAGGTGGGCAGGGCACGGTGGCTCATGCCTATAATCCCAGCATTCTGGGAGGTCAAGGCGGACAGATAGCTTGAGCTCAAGAGTTCGAGACCAGCCTGGGCAACATGGCAAAACTCTGTCTCTGCAGAAAAAGTTTTAAAACAATAAGCTGGGTATGCTGATGCCTGCCTGTGGTTCCAGCTACTTGGGAGGCTGAGGTAGAAGGATGGCTTGACCCAGGACACGGGAGTTGTGGTGGGCTATGACTGTACCACTGCACTCCAGCCTTGGCAACAGGGCCAGACCCTATTTCAAAAAAAAAAAAAGAAAGAAAGGAAAAAAGAATGAAAAATGATTTAAACAATGACAGAACAGAAATAAAAACAAAGGCACAGACACAAATCACAGGGGTAAAAATGGAGAAGGAAATAAGGGAACTGGTTTTAAAATGAGAGACATTTATTTTGTGGTGATAGTGCACATTTTAAAGACATCTAAAATTTAAGACTGCTTAAAACAAATAGGTAAAAATTAATTCAGAAATATGCATAGTTACCTAAAGGCCTTATCATGACAAATCAAAAATGCAAGGTATAAAAGGGTATAAGAGACTATAATATCTACTAGTGAAAATTAGGACGCCATTCCCAAGCAATCAGATTTTTTCCAAACCAAAATAAAACTACATCTCTTATGCAGGGTGACATAATCTAAATCTGCACCAGGTTCTAATATCTGGGAATAGACTAGAACAGAGACTACGAACTGGAAGTCCTGAAGCTGTCTCCAAATCTGGCCTCCATATGTTTTGCTTCACCCACACAATGTTAAAAAAGGAAGTGGAATCCAGATTTCCAACTCTGACAAATGAAAAGATCTGGAAAGCCAGATCTGCAATCCCACATGGCAAGCTTCCCTGGAGTTAGCCAATAGCTTTTCTCTTCAAATATATTAACAAATGTAGGGGGAAAAGGATATATATACATCTTCAACATGAAAAGGTATTTGCTACAACTCAACGTGTAGTCTTAAAAAAGGTCTAAAAACAGGAAAAAGTGAATAAAACATATCTCAATACAACAATCAACTTAATAGAAAAATATATTAAAGTCAAGGAAAAAAGTTCACTATGACTGCCATAATTTATAGTGGCCTAGAGATACTAGTCAATGACATTAGACAAGATAAAGCAATAGACAGTATAAACTAGAAATGACAGTCATTATTTTCAAATAATATTACCACATAATCTAAAAAACCTAGACACTCAGAAAGATACCCGTTTTAATACAAGAAACTCAATACTTTTCCTATTTACAAAAAA